CTTACAGTTGCGGTTTGCCCGGATCACAATGATGGTAAAATGTCTTTCTTGCATTTCTCATTCAATGTTGCGGGATCTTCCAAAACTGCGCCTGTGGAATTCCCTAAGTACGGGAAGTCCCAAGTCAGCTGTGCTATGCTTCTCTTAGCACGCTACGGGCTGTTCTTGGTTTATTCTATACATCCTTGATTAGGCTTGGCAACCCACTGGAATCATTTGGGTGTTCTTCCCTTTTACGAGCATCGCTTTTGTCCACCCTCGCCCCCCCCCCCCTTCCCAAGCTACTGATTCTCAGTATTGTTAGTATCTGCTAATCTCTTTCACTGTTTTTTTTTTCCTTTCCGTTCTGTTTAGTCTAAACGAGTTCTCACGTTTTAAAACTTTGAGGGTCAAGGCCATAAGTCTTTGCTTATTGAGTCCCCTCCTTCGTCGATATTGAAACTTCTATAAAATTAGAGAAAGGAAAATTCAGCGGCAGCTTTTTCGTCTCATTTTTAACGCCCTGTGTGTTGGAAGTGGTACCAAGTTTGAATCAGTAGGAGACGAAAGTTCGTCAATGGTATCAGTTGGTGACCACGTACGTGTTGCATCCGGTGATGTTAGCGGTCGCTTGCTCAAAGGAGTGGTTTCGCACATTCGCTTTGAGGACTGCTGCACCGTAAATTTCATGGATCGTAATTGGAGCGATGATTTGCCTGCCGAAGATATCGTTGAATGTGAATGTTCGAGATTCAACTGTAACGGATGGCATGTGCCGGGTGCTAAGGTTGGTTTGGTTTCCACAAGTGTTGGTGCTGTAAGCGAAAATTTTTGCACATTATCAGTTTCTCCAAGCTCAGGGTTTTTACTTTTTTCGGACACCATTTACTGATACATGATGCCTACCATTATCAGCAAAATAAGCAGCATGTCCTGCTTTACTTTTTCGCATAATGGCAGTAACTTCCTGCATGCCGCTCACCTGATGGAGAAACTGACTGTTTGTATGATCATGAAGAGATTCCCGAACATCCCTCGTTCCATCGCCGTTTACCAGGTTTAGTAAAAACACTGAGAAGCAGCTTTTGGAAAGTTGGGAGGTTTCCTGAAAAACATAGGTTAATATGGTTGTAAGCGGATGCTACTAATATCTTTGTCTGATCAAGAGAACGAATTTTCAAAGGAAATACGAATTCACTTTTTCAGCTCTGGTCTTACCGTATTTTATTCCGATGCATAAAAATCCATATTTTCTTTAATCATTAATAAAATTGGGTTGTTATGCTAGAAATCTCGTCCTACTGCCTTGGATTTTTTCCCAGTAATTCCACTGTTATTTACTTCAACATATACTTAACGCCAGAACGACTTGTGTGAATGAAGAGAACTTGAAACAGAGAATAAAGTGGAGAAATTGCCAGCTGCATCAGTGATGAGAAG